CCCCCCCCCCCCCCCCCCCCCCGTTTACTAACACAATATCTTGTGCTACTAAGACAATAGCCTCTTCCCCAACTCACAGTGTGTTTCTCGTTCCTAGGGCTGTTTCTTGGGTCTGGAGATGTCTTGGCTGCATCCTCCAGGAGCCGGCTCAATGCCTTAGGAAGCCTTTGTGAATCCCTCCCACCCTACCCTGGGGGATTAACCGCTGCTTTTATAGCCCTTTGTAGGTCCTGTAACACTTAGGAGAGCAGAGCAGCATCTGAGAGCACAGGTGACTCATTCATTCAGGCATTTATTCAACAGGAATGGGTTCCCACTATGGGTCAGGCACTATGCCCTGTACCCGGGATAGAAGAGAGATCCTGGACAGAGACCCAGATCAGTGTGCTTTGTATCCAGTTCTAATATGCTTTTCCAGGCGGCAGGGAAGCCTAGGTTCTGGGGCTGGTTCCCTGTGCAGAGAATGGGGGGCGGCCCTTGTTTCTTCATCAGTAGAGTGAGAGGGTTGCAGTAGATAGCACAAACTTTCTCTCAACTCTGAGAGTCTGTGAACTGTCGAAATCTAAAACAGGAATACTTTTTAAAAATGTGATTCCTTCTGTCTCTGAATTCCTAAAAAAGTAAAATACTTTCCTTGTAGAAAGTTTATATGCACAGAGGATCAAAAAGAAAATAAAATCATCATGATTGTACACCTTAGGGATGTCCACCATTAACATTCTACTCTGGTAATTATGTTTTATTATGCATACATTCCTTTAACGAGGTCAAGAGCAGCTACTGTTTTGTTTCCTCATCAATTCCCACAGGTATGGCTTTTCCCATCTGTCTCTCTTCCCCTTGGGCATGATTTTTATGGTTTACTATTACTACTGCTACCATTATTATTCTTACTCTTTTTACTAAGTAGTGTTTATCAAGTAATTGCAACATGTCAGGCACTGTGCTGAGTGTGTTATATAGCTTAGGCGCTTTAATGACCCAATGATCAGATGAGGTAGGTACTGTTATTTCCATTTTACAAATGAGAAAGTTGAGGGTGACAGTGCTGTGCAATGTACTGAAGATTTACCCAGGTAAGTGGGTGTCCTGGCTGTGGAACACAGATGTCATGGGTTCCACGATGACCTGTCACTGCACATCTTTTCCAGGTGTGAGTGCTAAGGTATCTGATCAGCCCCCCACTGTCAGCCCTTTAGACGGCTTCCTGTTTCCCATTGTTATAAACAATAACCTGATGGAATCCTTGGAGCTAAAAATTTGCACAGGATCTGGTCTTATTCTCTTTAGATAAATCCTTAGCTGAAGAATTGCAAAATCAAAGGCCAGGTTAACTCTGAAACATATGTGGCCAAGTTGCTCTTCTCTCCACCACTAGAGGTGTAACAATGAACACTCCAGCCAGCGGTGTATGAAGTGCTCCAAACCTTGGTGAGCAGACAAAGGGAACTGGTAGAATGCTAAAGAAAAGATGAAAAGATCAGACACATCCAAAGAGAGACAAGCATGCTGAGGATGGAGGGAGGCAACTGACCCCAAACTGGAAGCCTCCCAATTTTACTGGTACCTGGCACCCCTGATTTACAGCAGGTAGAAGGACCACCTTCCAGGTTATGCATTGTACCCAGTTGTATCATGTCCATTGACAGATGAATGGCTAAAGATGTGGTACATATAGACGATGGAATATTACTCATCCATTAAAAAGAATGAAATAATGCCATTTGCAACAACTTAGAGGGACCTGGAGATTATCATACTAAGCGAAGCAAGTCAGAGAAAGACAAACATTGTATAATATTGCTTATATGCAGAATCTAAAAAAAATGATATAAATGAACTTATTTACAAAACAGAAACAGACTCACAGACACAGAAAACAAACTTATGGTTACCACAGGGGTAAGGATGGGGGGGAGGGTTAGATTGGGAGTTTGGGGTTGACATATACACACTACTCTATTTAAAATAGACAACCAACAAGGACCTACTGTAGAGCACAGGGAACTCTGCCCAGTATTCTATAATAACCTAAATGGGAAAAGAATTTGAAAAAGAATAGATATATGTATATGTACAACTGAATCACTTTGCTGTACACCTGAAACTAACACAATATTGCAAATCGACTCTAATATAAAATAAAAATTTTAAAAATAATAAAACAATTAAAAATAGAGTTACTGATATTCAACAAACGCTGATTTTTCATTTGCCTTGAATTAAAAAGATAATACCGCCTTCATTGTCTTTTTCTGCTATCATCAAGGCTGATGCTTTTGCCAACTTTTCCCCTATAGAAATGTCAGAATAAATTCCAGTGCCATCAAATGAGACCTTTATTCCTCCACCTGCACATTATGACTCTAATAAACAAGTTATCAGCTCATGAAAATGATGGCAAACAGGTGACTGAAGGATTTGATAAGTCAGCAGTGAAGATTAACTGTTCTTTTCAGAGAAGGCTGTGAGAGGTTCCCCTATTTAAAACAACTGTGGCGTGTGAATTTACAGCACTTAAGT